AAACTCACGCTGGGCACATGTGCATGTGCACCCAAGATCCTGAGAGGAGAATGGAGGAGAAGGGATTGTGGCGTGGCCGTCCCCCAGGGGATGATTTCTCGCTTTCTATCTCTCTGTCTCTCTCTGTCTTTCTGGCAGGTGCATGCACGCTGAAGCAAAAAACCTCTCCAGAAAAAAAAAAAAGAAAGAAAGAAAGAAAATGTGAAATCCAGTATGCTACATATTCAAAACTTTTTGAACACAAACATGACACCCTAGTGGAAAATTCCATACCTGACCCTATACAACAGATCTCAGTCAAAATACTGCAACACAAAAATATTGTATAAAATTACCTCCAGGCTATGTGTTGTGTACATGAAAAATAAATATATTTTATGTTTAGAATTGAGACCTATCCCCAAGATGGCTCATTATGTATATGCAAATATTCCAAAATCCAAAAATATGAAAGATCTGAAACACTTCTGGTCCAAGGCATTTCAGATAAAGGATACTCAGCTTGTGTTTTGTGGTGTAGGTAACTTTATATAATATTTTTGTATTGCATCATTTTGAAGGTGACTTGGCACATGAGGTCAGGTGTGGAATTTTCCGCTTGTGGCATAATATGGTGCTTAAAAAATTCAGATTTTGGCATGTTTTGGATTTCAGATTTTGCTATTAGCGATGCTTATCCAGTACCCACAAATCCAAAAACAAACAAACAAAAAATCTGAAAGACTGGAACTAGAAGTTGGCCTAATGGCTATGTCGCTGGACTCCTATGTAGTCAACCGTGGTTTGAGTCTCGAACCCAGTGGCTTAAACTCACGCTGGCCGTGTATGTGTGCATGCCCAAGATCTCGAGAGGAGAATGGAGGAGAAGGGAGTGTGGCATGGCAATCCCCCCTGGGGGATGATTTCTCTCTTTCGTCTCCCTGTCTCTGTCTTTCTGACGAGTGCATATGCCCTATAGCAAAAACCTCTCCAAAAAAAAAAAAAAAAAATCTGAAAGACTAGTCTCAAGCACTTTAGATAAGGGGTATTCAACTTGTATAATTTAATTTCTACCTTTTAATTTTTCTTTTAATTTATGATAGAATGCATATGAATGTGATAGAGAAGCACCTCCCACGGAGTCGTATCACACCACTGCCTCCTTACTCCAGTTCTCTAACCTGTCAGGTCCTGGGGACTCATCATGTGCCCTGTGTGTTTCAGGCTGACCAGGCCTTCATGTGGGATCAGCTGTTCTTGAGCAGTGCAGCACTGCTGCGCCACGGAGCCAGCCCTCTACTTATTTTTGTCTAGATTTGTATAGATTTTTTACTTATGTTTTTGTTTCTGGTTTTTAGTTTAACTCCACAGTTGTCAAGAAACATCTTCTTTATGCTTTCAAGTTTGTCAGATGTGTTCAGCTTTAACACCCAGAATATAATCAATTTTGGAAGATTTTCATAGACACTTGACAAGTACATTCTACAGTTGTTGTATGATCACCATTTTTTAGATTCGTGAGTCTTGTCACTATCTAGAAAAATAATGCTAAGAGCTCTAGGTCAGAGGCCAGCAGGTGGCATGGAGGTTAAGGAGGTTGGACCCCACCAGGCCAACTGCCAGACATGATGACTTGAAAACATGCCAGGTGCACATGCATATGTGCCCAAAATCCTAACAAGAGAATGGAGAAGGGATTTCAGTGTGACTATCCCCCTTGAGGGGTGACTTCTCACTTTCCTTCTCACTCTGTCTTTCTTGTTGAGGTGAGTGCGTGTGCCCTATAGAAAACTAAAAATAGATAGATAAATGAAGAGCAGTTTTCTAAAAAATAAAAGGAGCTACAGTTCATATTCCCTGTCTGCATTCATGCTGTTTTTTCTAGGCTAAGAAAATACTTCATGTTGTCTTGTAAGTAGTAGTCAATATGCAGATGGTAAATTAAGATATCTCTGTTTGAGTCCTTTTATGAACATATTATTTCCATAAACATAAATGTATGTAATTAGGTAGTAAGGAAAGAACCAAAGTAATGAGAAGGCATCATCATTTTGGTGTTTGATAGTTCCACTAGAAATTTTACAGGATTGATGTTTAATAGCATCATTTAACAGCAGTTATATAAGTCATGTTATGCAACAATGGTCTTAAAATTTTTCAGTATCAACTAAATTGAAGTAAACTCTTATATATTACAGTGTATTGAACAACATGAAATAGTTGTCTTCTTAACTGTGTATTTTAAGGAAATTTTTATTTCATGAAAAGTCATGACACATTTTTGCATAGAAAAATAATGTCATGACTTTCCCAACAACCTAATGTATTAGCACATTCTTCATTTGGAAAAGTAAAATGCAAAACATAAAGTGAAATGTAAAGATAAATCTGTGATATTATTATTTTCAAAACTTTCAGGATGTGGTGTGGCCAAAATAGCTTGTATAGTCCTATCCACAACCTTAAATTGGTTTGTCTCAAATCTAGAAAACCATAGTGAGGTCCATCCATTGAGCTTACTTAGCATTGTTAAATATCGCAAGCCTGTTTAGTGTAACTCGTGCCTTGGTCCCTGGAGCATGACTTACTCTAAACCTGAACAATAGCCAGTGACTAGAGCTCAGCTGTGAAAATATACTAGTTGACTGACAGCTAGGCAGGGACTGAGTATATAAAAAAAAGGAGCCAGAGGAAATAAGGTGTAACGTTAATATGCCAGATAGAAAGTATACATATCAGAACAGCCACATCAGAAAGAAGTTCAGAGAAGGATTATTAGGGTGCAGTAGTAGCACCTGGGGGGGGGGAAGCTACAGAGAGAAAAAAATATTCTGATAATGGAAAACCTGACATCTGAGTGCCAAATCGAGGGACACGGCAGGCAAGGACTAGATGGTGTGTGTTTTCTAACCAACTCCTGTCCCTCTCGTCCTCTTTCCTGGACTCTGCATTGTTCAGGCATCCTCTCTTTAACCATATCGACACGAACAGAGAAGCCGACCCCATCCTCAGCTTCAAGTTGTGATGGCTTCTGATTAATCTAAGCCAACTGTGGTGATCCATTTCTCCTACCAGTGATAAGTTCAGGAATAGACTCGTGACCCAGTTCTGTCCAGTGACCTGCCTCAGAGACTCTGGGAAAGATCACTCCTGAGCACTGAGGTAAAGGAGAGGTGTCGTGCTGACTCTAGAACCCCTAGAGTGGGAAATTTCTAATTGGTTTATGCAGCAGGAAGTGTTCAGATGGCTGATCAAATACGCGTTTTTAAAATAGAGGAAGATGTTGATTAATGACTTATAAACTATATCAGTTGAGAATGTATTTGGGAACAATAAAAAATCCAAGTAGATTTTGTTTTCTGTTTTTTATCTCTAGAATCATGAAGTTTGAACATAGCTGCTCAGTGAGGTTTCAGACACCCAGACTCTTCCATTTGTCTGTTTCTCTATCCATAGCTTTCATCCTCATGTTCCTCACCTCACAGTCACAAGGTGGCTGCTGCATGCTCAAGCAGGAGGAATGAAGGGGAAGGACAAAGGTCTTTCTTTTACCAGGGAAACAAAACTCTCCTGGAGGGACCCACTGAGAAATTCCAGTAGATCTCATTGAGCACCCCTAATTAGGATGTTACTTCAGAGTGTACAAAGCTATGAAGTTCCAGAGGGGGTGAAAGTCAGCCTTCCAAGGGTGCCAGCCACACACACCCTTACCTGCCAGAAACCATCAAGCTAGACCATTGCTTCAGGATGCTCATCTCTATATTCTGGAATTTTGTGGAGTTTTTGGCTACTACTTGTAATGTGTCTAGTCTGTCTTCATTAACTTAACGTCAACCATATTAATTAACTTTTTTACTTTATGCTTAAGTTTTATAAGCTAAAAGTAGTATACTAGACTCACTAGTAAGATATTTAATTTTCTTTTTTAAAATGAAGGCTTCTGAGCAAATAAATAAATTTGTGCTAAGTTCACACAAATTAATATTTTCCATTTGAATCAGGAATTGTGATAAATTTTAAAGGAGGCTTATAGTTTTGAGGTAAAGTTATTCTATCCCAGAAAGTCCAGAGGAACTGTTGAATATTTTAATTGAATTTCCTAACAATGAGAGTACAAACTTCCTTTTTCAGGGTCTCTTTTGAGAAAGGAGATGGAGAGTCTACTAAAAGTATTTACTTTAGTATCTGGTATTGTATCTCCATAGACCTAACTGATCTTAAGTTGTATACTGGATTCTGTTTCATTATCTCCCTCCTGCCCACACCGCCATTCTTGTTCACAGATAGGTTTATTCTCAATCACCGAGATCAATCATTGAGGTAAAAATTACAAGGATAACCTACGAGCAGAAGAACACGTGGTTTCACATGAACCGTTAGAGGAGATACCTGCTGCAGACGGGGTTGGGCCATGCCTTAGGAGGGACAGAGCCCTCGTAATGGAAAGGAGACAAGCACAGTTTTCAGTCTCTGACAGTGGGTGGAGTTACCCACAGGGACTGGGTCGAGTCGCACCTCATGTTAGGATTCTGGATCTGGGATAGATGTGGAAGAGCATCTATCTCTGACACTGCCAAGCAAAATTGCTAGTTTAAGTTCATCTCAGAAACTGAAGAGAATAGGTGAGGTTTTTATGTTGGTTTTACCTACCATATTTTTGTCACTTAGGCCAGAGAGGCCACAGATCACAAAGGAATAGATGAAGTATGTACGCTGCAGTTTTGAGAGAGAGAACCAACTATTTAGCTAATATTTGCCACTCTCTCATTTTCATGTTGTGTAACAAGGTCTTTCTTAGTAAATGACTTATTTTTCCTAATCTTATTGTGCATATCAGTGAGTCACCCAATTATTTTATGCCGGCATCTGAACTGGGGAAGAAGAACACTCATTATTAAATCTGATAGTTAACTTTGCCACAATAGTTTTAACCCCGTTTTTAAGTTACTTACAGTTTTTGTAGACTGTACCGCATACTGAGGATAACTGGAAACAGTGACCAGATTCTTAATCATTATCAGGAAACTGCATTCAGAGAATGAGAAGAACACCCCCACTGGATGAATTGCAGCCACCACCATATCAGGATGACAGTGGTTCTCCCCATCTCTCATGCACACCCTCAGAAATTGGGGACAGTAAATGTGAATTTTCCCACTGCAGCAACAGTCCAAGATGCTCATATAACAAGTGCCCGAGTGAAGGAAGTACAGGCCATGAAGTAGAAAGCTTTCACAATAAAGGATATGAAGAAGACGTTCCAAGTGACAGCACTGCAGTCCTGAGCCCAGAAGTAAGTAAAAACCACCCAGAAAACTGAAAATGAAATGTTATTTGAACACTGTGCTCCTCCACTTGGTAAAAATTGGTTTTATTACTATTTTCTCTCTTTCTGGCTATGGTACTAGTTTCCATCCTTATTCTAGTCTTTATCCAACAAATTGATCAGAGTTTCCTAATTTCGTTCTCTTCCTCTCTACCAATAGTAGATGGGTAGCTAAAGATGGGTGTTTCGGGGTTTGTTTTTGTTTTTAACTGACATTCTAGAATTATTTATCTTTGTCTTCTATCTTAGGACACTATTTCTTTTTAATTATTTTGAGTTTTTTTTTTTTTTACTACTGGGAGGTTACTCATGAATGTTTCACAGGTCTTTGGAAATAATCTTACTGTATTTGCATGTCTTGGAATATGAAAGGGATACATGATGATGAGCTTTGCCAGTGAGATTTGAATTTATGACATCATGTATTCAGAGCGACTGGTTCATTGAGTTTTAAGTTACTTATTTTGGAGCAAAAATATGCGCAAAATGGCAACAAAAATTTTGTTGCAATTCCAGTGCATTGCCATGATTTATAAAGGATTTATAGGCTGGCCCCATAGCCCCGTGGTTAAGTGCTGTGCATACGGAACCAGATCCCACATGATTGACCATGTCTAAAATATCAGCCCGAGGCTTGAAAACCATACCAGGTGCATATGCCGAAAGTCCTGACAGGCTGGCGACATGGAGAAAACTGGATTGCAGCATGACCACACCCCATTGGAAAATTTTCTTTCTAGCAAGCACATATGTCCTCCAGAAATAAAAGAGTTTGCTTCTTTCTACAATGAGGAACGCTATAAAAATAACCTAGAGGTTTTCATAAGGTAGTGTTTTTCTTAGGATTTACATTCAAGTTTAAGTTTTTAAAGACATGTCAAGTTCAACATTTGCTTTTTCTTTTTTTAATAAATATATTTATTTCTTCCAAGAGAGAAAAGGAGAGAGTCCCTCAACAGAACCTTCATGTCACAGTTAAAATTCACCCCTAGTCTCAGCCAGCCTGGATCTGGGGCACATATGCACCCACCCAGCACATAGAAGAAGGTTCTAGTATGTGAACCCAGGACCTTCCTCATATGGGTCAAGTTGCATTACCACCATGCCACCACTTACCCCCTCTTTCAAATTTTAGATCACAACTTTTTCCAACTTCTGTTTCAGACAAGATTCAATAATACTATAGTGTCTATGTTCTTAATAGGTGAATTTTTTGGTCTGTCGCAAAAATTTAATAGTGGGGGTAGTTCCCCAATATACAGAAAATTACACTGTAGATAGAATTTCCTTAATTTTAGTTGGCTCTTCTACAATTTTAAGAACATTTTGCTCCTACTTTTCTACTATTTATATTAATGAAATATAGTATCTTATTATCTAGAAGAAAATTCTATGTTGGTACCTTAAGTTTAACATATCACTATTTCATGATTTTTTTTACAATGAATGTTTCTTGTGTTTATCAACTAAACAAATTTGGGGTAGATGTTTCATAGTTTTGTAAACTATGTGTTATAGTTAGCCAACAAGTTAATAGCAAAGCCCAGATTATAGAATTAACAATCATAGTTATCATCAGTGGTGACGGGAATTTTGCTCTGAACTGTATATAGCTCATTTAATTCTAACAACCACATCCTCCAAAAACTATTTTCTCCATTTTACAAATGAAAAGCATCATGACTCATAGAGCTAAATGAGTTGTCCAAGTTCAGGCAGCACTTAAATAGTAATTCAAACCCAGCTCTGCTTGACTATAAGAACAGTGCTCTTAACAAGTATATTACATGATTCTTCTTATGATCTAAATTGATGGGTGGTTGATAGAGTGGTACCCTTCAAGTTCACCACTAGTGAAGCTATTCCAGAGAACTCAAAGACTGAATTAAGGTGTTCTTACTATGCATGTATGTGGGCGTGTGTGTGTGTGTGTGTTTTAATATATTTCAAATACAATGCAAGAACTAGGAGGAATAAGCGAGATAGAGGAACACATCTAGGATAGAATGTCAGTAGGTATAAGCAGACCTCACTGTGTGAGTCTGGGTTTGTGCAATACCTTCCATCCTGTCCTAATGTCTCTGTCTCTGTCCATCAGCCTTCCTCTTTATAATGTGGTAACAAGAGCCAGGGTTGAGATTTAACCAAAGATACCAAGAGCCAACAGCACACATTTGTTTTATGGGAGAAATTTAGAGACAAGTATGCCTGGCCACCACTGCAATTTGCCAGTTAGCCTACTAAACAGATGTAGGTTTTGTCTACGTTACGTAAGTAGAGTACATGGATGACATCCATCCATCCATAGGTGACATGATCATGATCTCTTTCTATTGATAACACTCATTATTCTACCTTATATTCTATTTAGTCCATGTTTCATTGGCATAGTTTACAGGCTATTAACTTAGTTACTTTCTATATTTAGTATATCTTCTGAGTTCTGCCTTTATCTCACAGCTACTTCCATACTCGTTATCTATAGTTAACACTCTATGACTTTTGCTTATATTTCAGAAGCTGCTAACTTGTTACCTGTCCTGAGTTCTTTCACATTTTCTCCATCCTGCTTGTTTTTGTGTCTTCTGTAGAACTGATATATTCAAACATTATAGCAAATACACATTACATAAATACTTAGATGCAGAATGCTAATAGCCTTTGCTAGTAAACAGTTCACTTTTTTCAAGTTTGTATTGCATTCCTGTAGCAGCTTTTTGTATCAAATAAAAAATTATTATTTTCCTCTTGGTTTAATTCAGGCTGTAACATCTTAGAGCCTGTCTGAATACACAATTGAGGTGAAAGAGGAGAGCAGGTCCAGAAGGATCCCGTGGCAAGGAGTTCACGGACTCCATTGATGATTTACATTTATCTGCACTTTCTGTCTCTGTTGTTATATCTTCTAGTCTTTCTGTTCCTGCCATAAAGTGAAGACATTCTCTATATATTGAGCAGGGGCATACAATGCCTGTCTGTCATAATCTGGTTTATTTCACCTAACATTAAATCTCCTATATTCAGTCCACTTTGTATCAAATTGCAGGGTCTCCTTGTTTCTATAGCTGAGTATTCTATAGTGTATGTGTGCTACACTTTTTCAGCTTTCAAGATGTGTATTCTGCCATTTTTAATACTAACTAATATTTAATAATATTTTAATGTGGGTAAAAATTGAAGTAAATGTGGTCTCGGTCATAAAGAATAAATATTTGGTTGCAAATATTTTGAAGTCTTTGTATTTATAATTCCATCTTTTACATTTCCATTGATGTTTAAGTCTAAATATATTTACACTCTTATTTCAGATAGGGGTTTTTAGAACAAAATTTTCAATATCATTATAATTGTATTTATATTCTCTTTCTCACTAACCAAATATTGAGCTGCCAATTGCATTGTTTATAATGTTGAAAGTGAAATCTGGTAGTTTCCTACAAGAGAAACAGTGATACACATTAAAGTATGTATTTTAAATTCTCACCTATGGAAACATGTGCAACTTCCTCGGAATTGTCATGATGAATATTCAGTTCTAAATGTATCTTTATTATAAATTTTTTAGTTTACCTTATTGCTTATATCACTCTAGCCCTATAGAGTAGTTCTTTTTTTTATTATAGTTGACAAACTTTCTTTGTGTCAGGAAGTAAAAATTGTTTTCACATCCCTTCTTCTAAAGAAATATCAGATATTTATTTATATGCTAGATTTAAAAATTGAAAACATTTAAATTTTCTTTTCTTAGGATATATCAGCTCAAGGATCATCTTCACAGATTCCTAAACCTTTTGATCCTGAGCCAGAAGCTAAATATGGCACACTGGATGTGACTTTTGACTATGACTCACAAGAACAGAAGCTTCTGGTAACGGTGACAGCTGTCACAGACATCCCAACATATAACAGGACAGGTGGCAATTCATGGCAAGTACACCTTGTTCTCCTACCTATAAAGAAACAGAGAGCGAAAACCAGCATCCAGAGAGGACCATGCCCTGTCTTCACAGAAACATTCAAATTTAATCACGTTGAATCTGAGATGATTGGAAATTATGCAGTTCGATTCAGACTGTATGGTGTACATCGCATGAAAAAAGAAAAGATTGTGGGGGAAAAAATTTTTTATTTAACAAAATTGAATCTTCAAGGGAAAATGTCATTACCTGTGATACTGGAACCTTCTTACAATCATTCTGTGAGTATCTCATCAAATGGCCTGAATACATTTTTGTGTTCATGGTATATAATATATACAAGTTTTAACATCTAAACCAACCCAGCAACTTTCTTAGTTTGTTTTTCACATAGTAATCATACCTTTACCAAAAAAGAAAAATCTCTAAGCACTGGATAGGTAGGTATAATTTTTTATCTACAAAAGTTACCTTTGAAAAATATACATAATTTATTTTATGTATTTTATTTTATCCTTCACAGAGTTTTAGCCCGGGGTCTTAGATGTTACCTAAATGATTATGTCATTATAAATTCCTTGTAGAATGTATTGTTGTCTTTCCAAGTTAGAACCGGGTGGTACATTAAGCATTATCTAGCCCGTATCTTTTTTACTATGCAGGAGGAATTATTTACTCGTACAGAATACCTCCACGTGCCTAGGTCAAGGCTGCTGATCTTTCCAAAACTGCTACCAAGTTATTTAATAGCTCAAAAACTTTTGGCCTTATTGTACTTCACCTTTTTTAAACAAAGGCTTTGAAATATCTTTGGGAGAACACTTAACCCAGTAGTTTGCTCTATTTCTCTCTTTCTCCTTTTTTCTCTGGATTTTAATTACATAAAAATGTCTTATCAAGGGACCAATGGGCGGCATGGTGGTTGAGGGGTTGGACTCCCACATGACCAATCGTAGTATGAGTTGCAGACATGGAGGCTTTGGGGTCACACCAGGCACATATGCATTCATGCCCGGAATCCTGAGGGGAGGGTTGAAGAAGGTTGATTGTAGCGTGACCATCTCCACTATGGGATGATTTCTCGCTTTTCTCACTCTGTCTCAGGCTTGTGCTCTGTGGCGAGGGCCTTGAAAGAAAGAAAAAGAAAAAATCTCTTCATATCTTTAACTAAATTCTCCCAAGACACTGAAAATCACAGGGGAGGAATATCTTCATTATTTGTTTAAACCACGGTGATATATTATGCCACGTAATTATTTAGAGGATGAGAAAATATCATAAATACAAATTATGATTTATTTATTCCTGTTATACTGAATAACAAGCATTTTTATAACAAATATGTAACTTTTAGAATAAACTTATATTTTTAAATAAAAGGTATGATATTTTAGGATTGTTTTGAGCTTTTACAAGTGTATGCATAAGTTCAAGGTTAGATGACCATTGCATTTTCACCAGGCAGCATTTGATCTTGTATGACCTTCATTCACCTACAGAACATACTAGGGTTTTTGTTTTTTTTTTCCTTTTTCTTTTTTTTTTTTTTGAGAGATTTTTGCCATAATGTGCATGTTTTTGCCAGAGAGAGACAAAGACAGTCAGAGAGAAAATGAGAAATCACCCCTAGAGTGGATGGCCATGCCACAATCCCTTTTCTTCCATTCTCCTTCCAGGATCTTGGACACACACGCACATGTGCCTTGAGCTTAAAGTCACCAGGTCTGGGTCTTGAACTGTGGTCAACCATGTTTATGTCCAACGATGTAACTGCTGCACCAACTTCTGGCCCCTCTTCTTTTTTTAAAAATTTTTTATATTTTTAAGTTTTTACCATAGGGTGCGTGCACTCTCTGGAAAGAGAAAAGGATAGAGAGAGAGGGAAAGTGAGAAATTAATAACCTCCCCTCCCACACCCTGAGGGGATGGCCACATCACAGTCCCTTCATTCTCCTCTCAGGATTTTGGGCACGCACACACACATGCCAGGCATGATTTTCAAGATGCTAGGTCTGGGACTCGAAACATGGTTGACCGTCTGGGAGTCCAGTATACCTTAACCACCACACCACCTCCTGGCAGCCAGACTATATCGATTTAATGGATGATTTCAGTATCTCTGAAGATAAAAAGACAATGGTAAATATAGTATGTCCATATAGGCTTATAAGATTTAATTTTATATAATAATTCATTATCATTTAAAATCTTCAGAATTACTACTTTTGGAAAATGCCTTTTTATTAATAAAATGGTATCAGTATTTCAAGGGGAAAGAACAAATTTTATTTTATCAAATTGAGTACCTTGCAATTATTCATGTGATTTTTAAAGTTTCTCAGTATTTGGTCTTAGGGATGAATTGTTACTTTGTAGAAATTGCACCCTTTCCTTAAATAGAAATATCTAAATTAGAGGAAAAAGACATTATCATCAAGAGGTATGTATTTTGGATTGCCTTATTTACTTCAAATTATATTTCCCAATTATATCAATTATATTCATTTCATAGAAAAGAGAAACCATAGGAAATAATTTTATCTCTACCCAAACTAAGTAATTTCTGTATGTACTTGTATTGCATATATTAACTTATAGTCTGATTTGATTTTTTTTTCAAAACAGCACTGTAAATTTCTGAGACATAACAAGGAAGAAGTGGTAAATAGCTTCTAAGACATAAAGTTTGAATCTGAATAAAACTGTTCATCTTCTGCTCTTAGAGCATTTTTCCTTTGCATTGACACACTTTAAATTCAATTGCTACATTTAATTATTCCTCTCTCTTTCCTTCTTTCTCCACTTTCTCAAAATCTTATTGTTTTTAACTTGTGTGCCAAAAACAACTCAGCACACCAGAGTTGTGAGGCCAACACTCATAATCCTATCAGTTGTCATGTCATAAAAATGTAATACCAACATAAAATATATTTTGTATATTCTATAATATTAATGTTCTTTTAAAATCAACTCTATGGGCATAATGATTATGTTACTGGACTCCCATGTAGTCGACCACAGTTCACGTCCCAGACCCAGTGGCTTAAACTCATGCTGGGTGCATGTGCATGCGTGCCTAAGATCCCGAGAGAAGAATGGAGAAGAAGGGATTGTGGTGTGGCCATCCCCCCTGGGGGTTTATTTCTCCTTTTCTTTCTCTCTGTCTCTCTCTGTCTTTCTGGCAAGCACATGCGCCCCATAGCAAAAACCCCTCCCCCCCAAAGAAAAAAAAACAACTGTATGTAGAAATCTTCTAATTATAGTTTACTTAGGTGAGTTTTACTCTAATGTTGTAAGCTGCAATAATATATATGTAAGAGGGGGAGCCAGCAGGTGGCATGGTGGTAAAGGCACTGACATGCCCACATTGCCAACCACAGTTCGAGCCCTGGACCTGGAGGCTTGCTTTCTCACTTTCCCTCCCTCTCTCTGTGTGTCTGTCTCTCTCTGGTAACACATTTAAAAAAAAAAAAAGAATGAATAAATAAAATTAAAAAAATATATATATGTATATATATGTGTGTGTATGTGTGTGTGTAAGAGGTACACTCATAATTATTTTAGTAGCTTTTGAATAATTGCTAATTTCTTATTATTATCATTGCAAAAATACTAACCTTTTGGCAAGGAAAAATTTTAATCCAAAGAATGTATTAACTATGATTACAATATAATGAAAGCTTTCCGTTTATTTTCATGGATAGTAATAGAAAAGTAGAATTCTGCCTATCAAATTTAGTTTCATAGCTAGTTTATCAGGAACTGATTGAATCAATATATTGGGAGATGAAAAGACCAATGTCACCAAAATGACTTTCTGAGAAGTAAATGATAAGAGTCCCTGAGGGTAAGAATGAAGTTTAATATTAAGGAAGATGTAGTTTGAAGTAAGCCTCCTTTGTCTTGCATGATAGAAAAATATATTATGCTAAAAATTAAAAAGCATGAATTCTTTCTAACTAGCTGTGTAAACTTAAAGTATCCAAGCATTTTGGACATCAGATTTCTCATTAGAAAAATGAAAGGATTAGGGACCAGCAGTTAGCATAATGGCTATGTTCACTGGACTCCCATGTAGTCGACCATGATTTGAGTCCTGGACGTGGTGACTTAAACTCACACCAGGCGTGTGTGCATGCATGCCCAAGACCCCGAGAGGAGAATGAAGGAAAAGGGATTGCAGCGTGGCCATCTGCCCTGGGGGGTGATTTCTCGCTTTCTGTCTCTCTGTCTCTCTGTCTCTCTCTGTCTTTCTGGAGAGCGCACACACCCTATAGCGAAAACCTCTCCAAAAGAAGAAAAAAAAAGAAAGGATTAGACCAATTGATATCTAAGGTTCCATTCATCTCTGATACACTCCGATTCTATTAATATGTAGTAGAAGAGAAGTAAGAACAGAAATGTGTACATTTTAGGTGAGTTTTGTATCTTAATATGTGAAATTTTGTGATGGTCATTTATTATGTTTTCTGTCTGCCATACCGTTTCAACAACTTTCTTATGTCTGGAGATGTCCCAGTTAATCAGCCCCACCTCAAGAAGTTAAGGTAAGCACCAGACATAGAAATCATTTTCCCAATCTCATGGTCTTAGGCCCTGAGCTCTGTGAACTGGACCACTGCTAATGTTCATTACTAGGAAACCAATACACACTGGCAAAGACGCAGACGCTGCACTCACGTCATCTTGCCATGAGGTTGACAGGAAGTTGATGGTGGCGGCACCTGGTATTGTGAGGCAATAGTAACTCTAAATCAGCTTTGCTTGTGCAGCTGGTGTCATTGCTCTCTGTAACAGTGACAGTGAAGGAAAATCCTTGGACTTAGGAGTCCTGTGGAAATAGCAGCGAAGTTTCCTTACCAGACTCCTTGTGTAGTACAGTTTAGGATTTATTCTTGAGACGCTTAGCCATTAGCCTGGTTCTCCGTTCGCCTCCATTCCTTTGATAAAGTGCTGCTCTTTATGAGTCAGAGGTAGCTTCTGGTGTTTTCAAGTAAGAACCCTGAAATAGCCAGGCTTAATATGTACTTGCTTCAGTCATCGCTTACGCCATGCTCAGAAGCTAGAAGGTTCTCAGTTACCTTTCCTATCATGATATATCCCGCTCACAATTTGGACTTTACTCACATGCATAACTTTATTCTCGTAGCACTCTTTTTAGTGAATAAGCACAATTTCCTTCTTTACTGGCATTTTCGTCCCAGTTGCCTGAATTAACCTTTCCCTTTTTCCTCAACCCAGTTTTATTTCTCATTCAACGTATTAGATTTATTCATTCCTT